GAGTAGTCTCCTCGACCTCGAGCTGCGACATCCCTTCTTCTGGTGGCGCGTGGCGCTCTGCTTCAGCGATGGCGGCAAGTCCGCGGCCCGCAATCGCGCTTGTTGAGGTCGTCGGCGTGTGACAATCCCTGCAGATTCCATCGGGATTGGGGTTGTGAAGCGCCGTTTCGCGTGCGTGGGGGTGATGTGGCACCCACGGCCTGCCGTCAGGGTGCTTCCAGTCCCTGCGGTGGATGTGCTCAAAGCGCAGTGGCACGAGGTCAATGAGTTCGTGCTAGTCGCCGCTGCAGTCTGGAATATCGAAGTCCAGGACGTACACCCCATTTTCGGAGTGTGCTCGTCCGATCTGCCTGCGGGGGAAGTTGCGCGCCTCATAGTGCAGCAGGATATCTCGCGTCGCGCGGTCCGTGCTGAGGTCGACGCCGCAATCCATGAGCTGTGCGGCGGACAGGAGGTTGAAGCGCAGGTTCTGGACGATCAGCACATCGTTAAGCGTGATGTGCGTGCGGCTCCCGCGTGCTTTGAGCACGACGATGCCTTGCGCGCTTGCGCGTAGGCGTATGTTGTTTGCCACGGTGACGTAGGTGACGGCAGGGGTGGGGACGGCGTTGGATATGTAACGCTCGGAGCCCACCATATGCTGGCCGCAGCAGCTGTCCAGGTACCAGGTGTTGTAGCGCTTGTTGTCGTCACGTGCGAGCAGCGCCAGTCGCGGCGTGACGATGTGCGGAGTGTCGAACTTCAGAAATTGTTCGCGCGAGAGCCAATCAAGTGGCGCCACCCGCATGTCGGGTACGTGCGGGGGACTTTCAAGCAGCGGAACTGGAAGATTCCAGTCTTGGTCGTCGTCGTCGGTGAAATCGTGGCGCGGGCTAAACGGGTTGTTGTTGGTGAACGCGCCAATTGGGTGCGGTGCCGGCTCAGGTGACGGTGAGCGAACGCGGCGACGACGCGACTCGCCTGTCATGGCCATGCTGCTCATGACGTTGCGAACTGGGGCAGTCGATGACGGCTGCTGCTGCTGATGCTGAACCGCTGGGTTCAGGTTGCGCGCGGGAGGGGGCTGATACCCCTGGGCTGGACGCACGTCGCCTCGTGCGTCTTGTCGGCCGGACCAGGTGCTCGGATTGGTCTGGCGAGGGCGGGATCGGTTCTTGCATCGATCCGCCAGATGCCCGAAATTTCTGCAGATTTTGCAGTAGAGGCGCCGTGGCTTTCGCCCTTAAGTGTTGTCGGCGTAGAAGGCGAGCCTTTCGCGTTCTCGTCGCGGCGCAGGTCGCTGCTGATCCATATCCCTCTGTTCGACGAGAAGGGCGGCGCAGAGGGCGGCCTCCGAGATGACCCCCTGCTGTCGGAGAAGCGCCTTGCAGGGCCGCCACTCTGGGCCGAGCCCTTGAAGCACAATGTTGACGAAGATTTCTTCTGAAATCGTGCTTCCCAACTTCACGATTTGATCGCGAAGGCTCCGACAACGGTTAAGGTAATTGTTGACCTTCTCCCCCGCGGTCATCTTGGTTTCCAGGAGTTCCTGGAGTAGTCGGCTCGAAGAGACAGAGTCCTTGGGCTGGTAGACTCCTGTCAGGTGCCGCCAGGCGTTAAGGGCTGGAGCAGCTGTGGTTTTGTATGAACGAATGTTGAGCTGCTCCGCCGCCGACATGTTCCGCAGGAGCACCCCGTACGCCATCAGCGACTCGTTGTAATACCGTGCCTTGGCGTCGTCGGTGTCCTCAGCAGGCTCCGCGTAGCTCCCGTCGAAATAGTGGAAGATCTGGGCGTTCTGAAGCAGGAGCTCCAGCTCGAAGCTCCAGGTGTAAAAGTCTCTGCCGTCAAAACAGGTACTTGTCTTTATTTTTGATATGCTGAGAAACCTTGATTGAGCGGAGAGAATTGCCTCTTCACTGGGACGGGGAGTCTTGGGGGTTGAGCCATTGGTGTCGAGGGAGAAAGTTTGCGGGGTGGCGTTCTGGCCAGTCGGGGCCGGTTGAGATGGTTGCGAGGATGTTCCCGCATCGCCATTCCGCAATGTTTGGAGCCCTTGCTCCAAGCTGGTGAGTCGCTGAAGAAGTTGTGCGAGAACTTCGGAGTTGATTGTCGTCGTGTTCTCGCTTGTCGCAGCCGGGTTGGGTTGCGCTTCAGCCGTCAGATTAGTTTGACCACCAGATCCTCCGGCCATCTTCACTCGTGAGCGTGTGCCGGACGCCACTTTCCGAATGTCGCAATTTTCGGGAGTGGTAGTGCGAAGGATTCCTGAACTGCTCTCATACCATGCTGCGATCAGAAGTTGATCGTAGCCCGGGATCTACCCAGGAAGGTTCGCACGCAGTGAAATAGTTGGTGGGCCCTTGACCTCAATAGCAGAGTGAATGTAAATGCTTGAGATAATAAAAACATGCAAACAAAATGATATAAATAAGAGTACAAGGGAATACGAAACGACCTAACTAGCCATGTACTCTAAGGGGTACATTCCCTTATTCAAATTCATTCCCAACCGTGCGGCGCGTACAGTTTCGTAACTGTTCCCGCCAAAACCACCTTGCCTGCAGCTGCCCGATGCTGTCTGCTCCGACGGTCCAGATGCGTCCCAACTGTCCGACGCTTCGAGTCAATTCTAACCGTCTGTCGCTCCGCGTTCATTCTCGTTACTGCGTGCTTCTCTTTGCTGCGGTGAGGAGTGCACAGTAATATCAATTATTAATATTCGTAACAGATCTCATACATGGAAAACTGGTTATGAAGCATTGTTGTGTTTCACAGGTTGGTACACCTGATATTCCATTTTCTATCTTGTGAAATAGTAGGTGTCCTTATGATGCTCTTGCTTAGAATAAATCAGGCGTTAGCTTATAGAGCAGATCCAATCTGTTTTTTACTGTAGCGATCCGTGCAACTCGAGAATGCCCGAATCCCGATAATTGACTGTCGGCTCCTTTCACTGGATCTGTAGGTTGGTTTCTTCCTTACCCAACGCCTCTTGGTCGCATTTCCCGCGTTCGACGCGCCACCTGCCAGTGCTACTCTTGGGAATTCCGTAAGGATTTTCCTTCGTTTCGCCTCGCGGCAATGGCGGCGGCGTCGAGCCGCCAGGGTCCATGGGGAGGCTTGCTGTGCGGCCTGGCGCTGATCTTGATCTGCGTCATGGCTTTCTCGATCCGCCTCTTCTCGGTGAGACTCTAGATCCTACTCGCCGTTGCAGGATCTCGAGGATTTTTACTCGGGATGAGTTAGGCTACTTTTACGAGTTACCAAGGAGGTCCTAGCACGATATACGTAGAGTAGGATTCTATTCTCCGTGACATTTCAGACCGTTGCTCGTGAATTTGATACCAATAAAACAGAACAAAACGCAAGAGCGCCAGTTCCATTGGATGTGGTTCGGTGACACGAAGCTGCTGCCTCGAGCCGCTTTGTATAAAAGCGTCGTCTTGCCCACTTCGCGTACCCAATGTTCAACGATCAGGCACTTGATTCACTGCCATTCACTGCCGGTTTGGCTTCGTATGGAGTTATTTAGATTTGGATCACAAATTTTACCTCTCGTGTCCAAAGGCAAAGCTTTGCTTCAGGCAAACTTTAACCTCTCTGCTTTGGCAACGCACGCTAATCGAGAATACAAGGCGTGCACCGTCGACCCGGTCGATTTCATCTGATGATGGTCCGGCCAGGCCTGGATCTCGCATGTTCGATTTTATTTCCTGCTCTTCATCTAGGACACATCTTACGTACTACTGTTTCTACCCGCGCGTCCTTCGCGGCCGTTCTGCGCATAGACTGAGCAAAGCAGCCACCTACACACGGCCGGGCCATCTATGAGGTGTTTCCATTCAGAAGAATCGGTCATGCTTCTCCTCTTTCTTTTTCGGAATTCGTATTGGGGCATGATTTTCTGTTCATGGGCATTAAGTACGAAAGCATCATTCACAAAATCGACTCGTGCCTCCACGGTGCCATTACCAAGTCGAACCACGCAACATGACTCTCAGATCCTGCGCCTACTCTTTGCTTGCCGCCATGGCAGGTGATCAAGTACGAGAGCGTCATTCACAAGTTTGATCCCTACGTGCACGCGGCGCTGCCGTATTGCTTACAACACTCAACACACCCCTCAAATGCTGTCTCGCCTCTTTCTTCCCCCGCTCTGATGGCAGGTGATCAAGTACGAGAGCGTCATTCACGAGTTCGACCCCTACTTCAACTACCGCGTCACTCAGGTGATTCCCGTCACCCATTTGATTCCCGTCATCCAGGTGATTCCCGTCCCCCAGGTGATTCCCGTCCCACAGGTGATTCCCGTCCCCCAGGTGATTCCCGTCACCCACGTGATTCCCGTCCCCCAGGTGATTCCCGTCACCCACGTGATTCCCGTCACCCACGTGATTCTCGTCCCCCAGGTGCCTCATATGGCCTGGTTCTTGCTGGCTCGTGCTCGGCCTGTCTCGCTATGGCATCCCACCCAGATGCGTCCGGCACGCGCCCCAATACGCGTTCTCCTATGCGTTCCGCTGCTCGTGCTCGGGTTGTGCGATGAAGTTTCAACCTGCGTCGTTGCAAATCCTGGCGCGCCTCTTGAATTCCTCCTTTCCCCTCTCACTCCCTGTTTCACACCACAGTTTCTCTCAAAGGAGGGGTTCTACAACTTCTGGAACTGGTTTGATGACCGCACGTGGTGAGTGATGGGGGATGCCATGAAATGGCTAGTTGTGGACTGAATATGGGGAGTGGTGGGAGGCGATGGCATGGTGAGCAACGGGGGACGTCCCATGGCGAGGGATGGGATGGGATGGAAGGAGCCACGGCCGTTGTTGTCACCCTGCTGTACGCACCTGTTTCGCTCTGAATGTCACAAACCTTTGCCTTGTTGTGAAACCACCGTCGTGCCCTGCTCGCCTCTTGCCCTCCCTCTCTCTCGTGGCCTTTTGGCATGTCGCACTGGCAGGTACCCTCTGGGCCGAGTCATCGGTGGGACGGTGTACCCGGGTCTCACTCTCACGGCCGGCACCATGTGGTGGTGAGTTGAGGAGGCATGATGAAAGGTGAGGTGTGGACGAGGCATGCACGGTGAGGTGAGGTGAGGTGAGGTGAGGTGAGGTGAGGTGAGGTGAGTGCGTGGGTGCATCATGCATGGAGGGGAGAGGAGTCATTGGTGGGACGGTGTACCCGGGTCTCACTCTCACGGCCAGCAACATGTGGTGGTGAGTGCAGGTGGCGTGAGGGAGAGAAGGCATGGAACGCATGGTGAATCGAGGGTGTGGGATGAATGAGAGGTTGAGATCATGGCGAGTCATCGGTGGGACGGTGTACCCAGGTCTCACCCACACAGCCGGCACCATGTGGTGGTAAGCGCATAGCGTGATGGCGAGAGGACGTGAGAAGGGTGCGTGGTGAGGTGCTCAGTGGAAGCGGTGTGAGTGTTCACGGCGCCAGTGCTGCATACATACCCCATCCTTCCCATCCCTCCCATCCTTCCCATTCCTCCCATCCTTCTCTTCCATCCCTCCCTGCCAGGCTCGCCAACGCGCTCAACTTCCCGTTCTCAGTGGAGACGGTGTGTGTGTTCACGCCATCAGCGCTGCATGCATCCATTCCCCATCCCGTTTCCCCTTCTCCGCACCTGTGCAACCCCCACCACCTCATCCCTGCCAGGCTCGCCAACGCGCTCAACTTCCCGTTCTCAGTGGAGACGGTGTGTGTGTTCACGGCGCCAGTGTTCTCAGCACATGCAGCGTGGGCCACCTTCCTCTTAGCCAAGGAGGTCCGGGGCACGGGGGCTGGCCTCACTGCTGCTGCTCTCATTGCCATGGTGAGTGAGTGGCTCTCATGTGGTGTTGACTGCTGACTCGACCCATAAGTAAGTGCATGAGTGTTCTCAGCGCATGCAGCGTGGGCCACCTTTCTCTTGGCCAAGGAGGTTCGGGGCACGGGGGCTGGGCTGACCGCGGCTGCTCTTATTGCCGTGGTGAGTGGCTGCTATCGTGGGTGGCTGGCCATTCTGTTGACTGCTGACTCGACCCATAAGCTTCTCAGCGCATGCCGCGTGGGCCACCTTTCTCTTTCTCTTGGCCAAGGAGGTCCGGGGCACGGGGGCTGGGCTGACCGCGGCTGCTCTCATTGCCATGGTGAGCGAGTGGCTCTCATGTGGTGGTGACTGCCAAGTTGGGTAATGGCATGGTGCGTCCCACTTTTCTGTTCGTCAAGGAGGATAGGGGCAGGGTCTCGCTGCTGCCATGCTGCCCTTCCTCACCTGTGTGTTTCAGGTCGCGTCATACATATTGTTTTAGGCGAATCTCAAACTCAATTTTGCCGTGCTGTCTCTCTCACCTGTGCGTTGCAGGTGCCGTCGTACATCTCTCGGTCCGTGGCTGATGAGATAACTTTCTGAGGCTCCGTGGTTAAAAGTTTGATCCTCGCCTCGCCTGTGCATGTCATGTTTCAGGTCCCGTCGTACATCTCTCGCTCAGTGGCTGGCAGCTACGACAACGAGGGGGTTGCTATCTTTGCGCTCGTCTTCACCTTCTACCTCTACATCAAGGTGAGAGAGGGACTGTGCATGTGCATATGTAGATGGATGGGCGGGCGTCTGCTTGTGATGCATGTGCACATCAGGGGGATGAAGAGTAGACGACTGGCCTGGGAGGGGGTGGCCATCTTTGCCCTCGTCTTCACCTTCTACCTCTACATCAAAGTGAGTGAGTGGGTTTATTGGAATGAGTGCGTGCATGCATACCGGTATGTGATTGTTGTGATTCTTATCATTATCAACCTCAACCCTATACGACCAACACTACCCCTGCACTCCCCTTCCCTCAACACCTTGTTGCTGTTTTACGCCACATCCAACGCAGCAGCCTATTTTGACATGGCAATGTCGAGGGGTGGCTACACCTCCATCAACAGACTGACCCTTATTCATAGTCTCCCCTCTCCTCCTCCTCCCGTCTCCCAAACCTTCCTTGCACTCCCTCCCCTCTTCCCTACAGACCCTCAACACGGGTTCTCTCTTCTACGCCACGGCCAATGCAGCGGCCTATTTCTACATGGTGATGTCGTGGGGCGGCTACACCTTTATCATCAACCTCATCCCCATCCACTCATCACCGCTACACTCCCTGCATTCCCCACCAACCCCCATTTCAGACGCTGAACACAGGATCACTCTTTTACGCCACGGCCAATGCAGCGGCCTATTTCTACATGGTGATGTCGTGGGGCGGCTACACCTTCATCATCAACCTCATCCCCATCCACGTGCTGCTCTGCATCGTCACCGGCCGCTTTTCTTCTCGACTCTACATCGCCTTTGCCCCTCTGGTAAGAATCTTTTGGCTCTCTGATTTGTCGCCCCCTTTGTGAGCGGGTTGGGGCTTCAGCCGCTCCATCCATCCCCATCCACGTGCTGCTCTGCATCGTCACCGGCCGCTTCTCTTCTCGGCTCTACATCGCCTTTGCTCCCCTGGTATGTTGCCCCTCTGTCGACATTGTTCCTTTCGGGAAGCGAGGCATGGTCCGCCGTAGTGTGTCCTTTATCATGCCATGCGTCCATCCCCATCCACGTGCTGCTCTGTATCAGCACCACTGCAGCCTCCTCTGAATGTGCTCCGTGGCTGCACCTTTCACGCCAAACACTCCGTCCGTGCGCTGCACCAGGCTCGCTCCACCCCTCGCTGCAGATCATTTTGTGCACGTTGCTGGCATTGCCAGTGCTGTTCAGCACCTCTGCAGCCCTCTGAGCGTGCTCCGAGTGTACACCTCTCACGCTAACTCCACCCTTCTCACCTGCGTACACCTCTCTCCCCACCCCACGGGCTCCTTGACAGATCATACTCGGCACGCTGCTGGCAGCGCTGGTGCTGTTCAGTGCCTCTGCGGCCCTCTCAATGTGCTCCGTGCGTGCACCTCTCTCCCCACCTCACGTGCTCCCTGGCAGATCATACTCGGCACGCTGCTCGCAGCACTGGTGCCGGTGGTGGGATTCAATGCTGTCATGACGTCTGAGCACTTCGGGGGGTTCCTGGTGAGTGCAGTTCGTGCTTGCGATGCATGTGGTATTGGTGTTTGCAGGAGGGTTCTGGCCCTCGTATGTATTGTAAACCCCCTGTGAATGCCTTGCTCTTCTCGAATGCCGTTTTGCTGCTGCAGACATACACGTTTATTGTGACGCTTAGAGAATGTTTTGCTGCTTTGGACAACAAATTGCGTTTTTGCTGCTGCTGTCTGATACCCTGTTGTAGCCCTCCTCTACTCTCTTAGCCACAGGTCTTTCTGGTGCTGCACATCGCTGCGCTCAACTACTACATCAAGGCACTGCTGCTGTCTTTCCACCGTCTCTGCTGCTTACCCACCTCTTCCTATACCGTCCACCTGTGTGTTCCCCCTCAGGTGTTTGTGGTGCTGCACATCGCTGCCCTCAGCTACTACATCAAGGCGCTGCTGCCTGCTAAGGCCTTCCGCATTGCTCTCACCCTCATTGTATCAGTCGGCACGTACGTTTCTCTCACACTAAATCTCTCACTCACTCACTCACTCACTCACTCTCTCACTCGCTCACTCGCTCACTCTTTGCTCATCTGTTTCTATCTTTTGTATATTGGTCCCCATATTTTCAAAGAACTTCTTACAACACTGCAATGCAATGCCATTAAATGTCTGCTCAGTCGCTCCTTCACCACCCTCCCTTCTCTCTACCTCACTTCCGCGATTTCCCTTCCATTCTTCAGGGTGGCGGCAGTGGCGCTGCTCTCTGCTCTCGTTGCCATGGTGCTCGCCAGCCCGACTCTTGGCTGGACAGGCCGCTCTCTCAGCCTTCTCGACCCGTGAGTGCTGCTTGCTACTTGCAAAGCACCTGCTTGATGCTGACATGCTCTCACAATGTACATGACTTTCAAGGCGCCGAAAAACATAAGAAACTTCCATGTACGTACACAACTCCAAGTCAACTCAAACCCCGTGCTGGGATAAACTGGTTGCTTCCTCAGCCATCTGAATCGGTGAGTGCTGCTTGCTTGCTTACTTTCTTTCTTCAAAGTCCAACTCTTCAACTCTCCACTTAATATCCTAATTCTTTCTTCTCCCCTCCAGCACCCACCCATGCATCCAAGTACATCCCCATCATCGCCAGTGTAAGCGAGCACCAAGGATTGAAAGAATCTGACTACGTTGCGCCCCTCCCTCCCTCCCTCTCTCCCTCCCCTCCCCCCCCCCCCATCCACAGCACCTACGCATCAAAGTACATCCCCATCATCGCCAGTGTGAGCGAGCACCAGCCGCCCATGTGGACTTCCTATTTCATGGATCTTCAGCTGCTCGCATTCCTCGCTCCTGCTGGACTTATTGTAAGCAGGGACGCTCATAGGCACACTTGTTTGTCAGCCCACCAGCACCTCACTGATCACAAGCCCCTCACAGCGAGCACCAGCCACCCATGTGGACGTCCTACTTCATGGACCTGCATCTGCTCGCATTCCTTGCTCCTGCTGGCCTCATTGTTAGCACGCACGTTCATAAGCACTCACGTTTGTAAGCACACTACGCACGGTTGTCAATAGTGCAGCACATTCTTCCTGTCAGCACCAGCCGCTCACTGCAAGTACCAACCAATCCCCCGTATGGACATCTTTTTTAACGGATCTGCATTCTCCGTGCCTTCTGTTGTCTCACCGTTTCCTCAAGCGTGTTTCCTGCCCTTTACAGATGCGACCTTCTTCGTGGCTCTTTACCTCGTCATCTCCATGTAAACCCTGTTTTTCAGCCCAGAGCCCAGAGCCCAAATCTCAAAACCTGACACGTTTTTCTTAAACCCCTGAATTTTAACCCCTTTGTGCCTGCAGGCGTGCTTCCTGCCGCTCACAGACGCGAGCTCCTTTGTGGCCCTCTCCTCTCATCTCTCTGTGTTGCCTAGTTACTTATTCCTAAACCCCTGAACCCCAACCCCCTTTGTGCCTGCAGGCATGCTTCCTGCCGCTCACAGACGCGAGCTCCTTTGTGGCCCTCTCCTCTCATCTCTCTGTGTTGCCTAGTTACTTATTCCTAAACCCCTGAACCCCAACCCCCTTTGTGCCTGTAGGCATGCTTCCTGCCGCTCACAGACGCGAGCTCCTTTGTGGCCCTCTACCTGGTCGTTTCCGTGTACTTCTCCGGAGTCATGGTGAGTGAATGGGGTCAACGGTGAGTCAATAAAGTCAATGGATTCAATGCAACAACTCTACCTGGTTGTCTCCGTGTACTTCTCCGGAGTCATGGTGAGTCAATGGGGTCAACGGTGAGTCAGAGGAGTCATGGTGACTCAGAGGAGTCATGGTGAGTCAATGGGGTCAACGGTGAGTGAGAGGAGTCATGGTGAGTCAGAGGAGTCATGGTGAGTCAGAGGAGTCATGGTGAGCCAATGGGGTCAATCGTGAGTCAAGGGTGGCATTGCTAAATCAATAAGGTCAATGGTTAGTCAAGGGGGTCAATGGGGAGTCAATGGGGTCAATGGTGAGTCAGTGGGGTCAATGGTGAGTCAATGGGGTCATTGCTGAATCGATAAGGTCAATGGTGAGTCAATGGGTTGTGGTCAGCTGCATGGATTCGCGGTTGAGTCAGTGTAGTCGCAGTGAGTTGATGGCATTGAGGTGGTTAATATGTGACTCAATGAATTGAGCATCATAAAGCCCCCCCATACCGCTCCCCCATCCTCCCACCCGCCTCCTCTCATCCCTACCCTCTCCCAAGTCCATCTGATGCTGGTGCTGGCGTCAGCAGCGTGCATCACAGCAGGCATCGCAGCCAGCGGCCTCTTTAATTCTCCCACATCCTCTGTCCTTTCGCCCCTCACTCCCTTGTTTCTCTCCTGCTCCATCTCCCCCTCATTCCTCCCTTTCAGGTGCGTCTGATGCTGGTGCTGGCGCCAGCAGAGTGCATCACAGCGGGCATCGCAGTGAGCGCCATCGTTCCCCTTCCCTCTGTCCTTTCAGCCGCTTGTTGCTCTTCCTCCCCCACCCCTCTTTCCCCCAGGTGCGTCTGATGCTGGTGCTGGCCCCAGCAGCGTGCATCACGGCAGGCATTGCAGTGATCGCCCTGTTTGACGTCCCCGTCATTCCTTCCCTTCACCCCTCACTTCCTTGTTTCTCTACCTCTCACCCTCCCACATTCCACCTTTAGGTCCGTCTGATGTTGGTGCTGGCGCCAGCAGCGTGCATCACAGCGGGCATCGCAGTGAGAGCTGTGGAGAACTTGATCACCCTTATTTGCCTCTCTGCCCCCCCCCCCTCCCACATTCCCCCACCCCTTCTCAGGTCCGTCTGATGCTGGTGCTGGCTCCAGCAGCGTGCATCACAGCAGGCATTGCAGTCAGCGCGCTCTTTGACGTCCTCACTCGCTCCGTTAAAGCCTCTATCGCGGACCTCATTGACCTGGCGTACGCTGCTGCCAAGCAGGACAAGGGCGAGAAGGAGGACACTGCTGCTGCTGCGGCTGAGGTGAGAAAAGGGGGGAGGAAGGAGGATGTGAGGTGTGTTTTCTCTGTTTGCATGCGAGGTTTGGTTATGAGGTGAGCTGCTCTGTCAACCTCATCGACCTGCCAGCCACCAGGGCAAGGGAGAGGAGGAGGACACTGCTGCTGCCGCTAAGGTGAGAGGGAGGGAGAGGTGAGTCCAGTGGTGAGGCAATGTTGATCTCATGAGCCTTATGAACCCCCATTGCTACTGCCACAGGCTGCCAGCAAGGCAGGCGAGGCGGCAAGGAGCGCAAGGCGGCAAGGGGGGCGAAAAGAAGGGTGAAGAGAGTGAGAGGGAGGGGGGAGAGTTATTGGCTGCATTGACCCCCTTGACCTTGTTGACAATCCTATTGTTTCTGCCACAGGCCTCCAGCAAGACAGGCGAGGCGACGAGCCAGGCAAAGGAGCGCAAGGTGGGAGCGGGGAAGAAGAAGAAGGGCAAGGAGGGCGAGGGAGAGGGGAGAGGGGGGTACCTGATGACCCCATTGACTTTGTTGACCTCGTTGACCTCATGAACCTTATGAAACCCTGTTACCACCGCTGCAGGCCGCCAGCAAGACTGGCGAGGCAGCGAGCCAGGCCAAGGAGCGCAAGGCGGGAGCGGGGAAGAAGAAGAAGGGCAAGGAGGGCGAGGGGGAGGGGGGGGAGTCTGACGAGGAGCCTGCAGGGGGGGTTTCGGGAGCTGAAAAGAGGAAGGGGGTGAAGGGGAAGGGGAAGGGCAAGGGGGGAAAGGAGAAGGAGAAGGGGAAGGAGAAGTTCCCTCTGGTGGTGCCCGGCGATGCTGCAGCTGTGGGCATCATTCTCATGCTCGTGGGGCTGGCGTTTTACACGGTGTGTGCTGGGCTGGGCCAAGGGTGGTTTGCATTCAACACTGTGAACGATGAGACATTTCAGAAGGTGATGCTGCTGCGGTTGGGCAGTGGGGGCATCATTCTCATGCTCGTGGGGCTCGCCTTTTACACGGCGAGTCTAGAGGTGTTTCAGTCTCAACATTGGCCGTGTATCAACATTGGCCGTGCATCAACAGTGGCCGTGTATCAACATTGGCCGTGTATCAACATTGGCCGTGTATCAACATTGGCCGTGTATCAACATTGGCCGTGTATCAACATTGGCCGTGTATCAACATTGGCCGTGCATCAACATTGGCCGTGCATCAACATTGGCCGTGCATCAACATTGGCCGTGTATCAACATTGGCCGTGTATCAACATTGGCCGTGTATCAACATTGGCCGTGTGTTTTACACAGTGAATGATGACACGACCATCCAACGATAGCAAACTGTGGGTTTTCACCCTGCCCTCCTTCCTTCCACATGCCTCTTTCCCCCTCCCTTTCACATCCCTCAGATGCACTGTGTGTGGGCGGCAGCAGACGCGTACTCAGCACCATCCATCGTGCTCTCCTCTCCCACCAACGACGGAGGGCAGTACATATTTGATGACTTCCGTGAGGCATACGGGTGGCTGCGACACAACACAGACGTCAACGATAAGGTGGGTCCGCTGTTGCTGTGTGTATGACTCACTTGTATCACTGGGCCCCAGTGACAGCTCCTCCCCCGGCGACAGCACTGTCAGCTCTCCCACCCAAGACGGAGGGCAGTACATTTTTTATGACTTCCGTGAGGCATTCGGGTGGCTGCGCCACAACACAGACGTCAATGACAAGGTGGGGTCTGTTCTTGCTGTGTGTGCACCATTTGTAGCTCTGCTCCCAACGACAGCACTGCCAGCACTGCCCACTCTGCCACCAGCGACGCAGGGCATGCATGCATCTTTGAGGACTTCCATGAGGTGTTCAGTTGGCTGCGCCACAGCACAGACGTCAATGACAAGGTGATAGTGGGCAGCAACATATGGAACAACACTCACATCGCTGCACTGCACCCCTCCCTCCCCTCACATGCGCTCCCTCCCCTCACATGCGCTCCCTCCCCTCACATGCGCTCCCTCCCCTCACATGCGCTCCCTCCCCTCACATGCGCTCCCTCCCCTCACATGCGCTCCCTCCCCTCACATGCGCGCCCTCCCCTCACATGCGCTCCCTCCCCTCACATGCGCTCCCTCCCCTCACATGCACTCCCTCCCCTCACATGCGCTCCCTCGCCTCATGTCATATCCCCCCCCAATCAGGTGGCATCGTAGTGGGACTACAGGTATCAAACCACAGTCATGGCGAACTGCATGGACAGCAACACGTGGAACAACACTCACTCACGTCGCCATTCTCCCTCCCCAAACCCTCACCTTGTTTTTTCCCGGTCCCACACATGCCCTACCCAAGTGGCATCGTGGTGGGACTATGGGTATCAGACGACCGCAATGGCAAACCACCCGGTGATTGTCGTGAGCAACACACACATCGCTTAATCCTTGCCGTTTCCCGCACGCGTCCCTTTCCCACCAGGTGACATCGTGGTGGGACTACGGGTATCAGACCACAGCCATGGCTAACCGCACGGTGATTGTCGATAACAACACATGGTGACACTCACATTGCCACCATGTTTTTCCCCTGTGCCCGTACCCCACCAGGTGGCGTCGTGGTGGGACTATGGCTACCAGACCACAGCCATGGCGAGCCGCACGGTGACTGTCGATAACAACACGTGGAACAACACTCACATCGCTGCAAGCCCTCCCTCCCCTCGTGTCATATTCCCCCCCACCAGGTGGCATCGTGGTGGGACTATGGTTACCAGACGACCGCAATGGCCAACCGCACTGTGATTGTGGATAACAACACGTGGAACAACACTCACATCGCCACTGTGGGCATGGCGATGTCTTCTAGGGAGAAGGACGCGTGGGCCATCTACCGCTCCATCGACGTGAAATACGTGTTCGTGGTGTTCGGAGGTAGGTCGGCAATGGCGTACGCACACAACAAAGTTCAAATGCGTGGAACAACACTCACATCGCCACTGTGGGCATGGCGATGTCTTCACGGGAGAAGGACGCGTGGGCGATTTACAGATCCATCGACGTGAAATGCGTGTTCGTGGTGTTCGGAGGTAGGTCGGCAAGGAATACGCTTATATGAAAGACATTTTGGGCATGTTGGAACAACACACACATTGCCACGGTGGGCATGGCGATGTCATCGCGGGAGAAGGACGCGTGGGCCATCTACCGTGGGAGAAGTTCCTCTGGATGGTGCGCATTGCAACACCTGCACCAAACACACAACCCTTTTTCTGCCAAACCGTTCCTTCCCCTCAGTTCCACCAGGCATGGTGGGCTATCCCAGCGATGACATCAACAGTCCTTCCCTCCATCACTCCCTTTCACCATGCTTCCCATCCTATCCACCAGGCATGGTGGGCTATCCCAGTGACGACATCAACAAGTTCCTCTGGATGGTGCGCATTGGAGGCGGTGTGTTTCCGCGCATCAGGGAGCCCGACTACCTGGTGAGTGCGGTGGCGTGGTTTTTGAACATCTTATAAGCGACTCCAATTTAGATCATGCGGACCGGAGGTGGTGCGTTTCCATTGGAGGCGGTGTGTTTCCGCGCATCAGGGAGCCCGACTACCTGGTGAGCGCATAGGAAGATGGCTTCTGAGAGTCTTGAACGTGGTTACAAGTTAGATGGTGCGCATTGGAGGCGGTGTGTTTCCGCGCATCAGGGAGCCCGACTACCTGGTGAGTGTGCTGGAGTGATGGTGGGAACTGGGATGGGGATGGGGATGGGGATGGGGATGGGGATGGGAATGGGATGGGATTGGGGATGGGAATGGGGATGGGAATGGGGATGGGAATGGGGATGGGAATGGGGATGGGAATGGGGATGGGAATGGGGATGGGAATGGGGATGGGAATGGGGATGGGAATGGGGATGGGAATGGGGATGGGAATGGGGATGGGATTGGGGATGGGATCGGGGATGGGAATGGGGATGGGAATGGGGATGGGAATGGGGATGGGAATGGGGATGGGAATGGGGATGGGAATGGGGATGGGAATGGGAATGGGGATGGGAATGGGGATGGGAATGGGGACGGGAATGGGGATGGGAATGGGGATGGGAATGGGGATGGGATTGGGGATGGGAATGGGGATGGGAATGGGGATGGGATTGGGGATGGGATTGGGGATGGGAATGGGGATGGGAATGGGGATGGGAATGGGGATGGGATTGGGGATGGGAATGGGGATGGGAATGGGGATGGGAATGGGGATGGGAATGGGGATGGGATTGGGGATGGGAATGGGGATGGGAATGGGGATGGGAATGGGGATGGGATTGGGAATGGGGATGGGGATGGGGATGGAGATGGGGAGGGATGGGGATGGGGATGGGGATAACAATTCCCTTTTTCCCAGCCCCACTCTCGCCCACCTCCCTGCTCTCCACGCACTCCCTTTTCACTTTCCGGGCCAGCAAATCAGCACCATGCTTAGCACCTCAAATACCCCCTTGTCGTCCCATCCCCCTTTCTTCCCCGTCTCTTCCTCTGCCGCCTTCCCCTCGCTCCCCTTGCCAGAATAACAGCAACTACCAGGTGGATGCAGAGGCCACCAGCACCATGCCTTGAGATTCCTCACGCATCACAAGTGCCCCCGTTCTCCCCACCCCATCTCTCTCACTCCCATCCGTTCCTCTGCCCTCGCTCCCCTTGGCCAGAACAACGGAAACTACCGGGTGGATGGTGAGGCCACCAGCACCATGCTCAACTGCCTCATGTACAAGCTCTCCTACTACAGGTAAGACACGTACACGTACTTGATATAAGCTCACTCGCTGTAGCTCTGCTTAACTTTCTCATGTGCAAGCTCTCCTGCTGTAGGTACAACGTGTTCCCGATATAAGCTCGACCGTTTGTACAAGCTAACCTCAACTGCTCACTCACTCGTAGCACATATCACTCCGTGTATGTGCCTGGTTCTGTTTTCTCCTCCGTGCTCGATGCTGTCAGGTTTGCAGAGGTGGACGGGAGGGGCTTTGACCGAGTGAGGCGCACGGAGATAGGCAAGAAGAACATCAAGCTCACACACTTTGAGGAGGTGAGAGAATGCTTTTTGTATCTTTTTCTTTCTTCTTTTTTGTGAGTAGAGGCCGCAGGTTGGTGTGGAGTGTAGACTCTCTCAATCTGGGTGCATGATATTTCAAGTACTTCTTACAGTCACACTTCGTCAATCATTTTCCTAACCTCATTTGGGTCTGTCTGATGTTTGGAAACTTCCATGACAAGAATAGGGGCTGTTTGTTTATCAATCCTGTTATTGTATTTCAGGTGTTCACTTCGCAGCACTGGATGGTCCGCATTTATCGCCTCAAGGAGCCCAGAAACCGGCCTCGCGGGACTGGCAAGAGGCTCACACGTGTCTCGGTAAGTAGCTCAAATTGCTTTGTTGCAGTCATTTTTGGAGACATTTCCATCTGTTTATATCTCGAGACTTTTTGCATGTTGTTTGCCCTATTTAACCCACTCGTTTTATCAGGCCAACAAGGCGAAGGGTCGCTACTGAAGTTTAGCATAAGTAATTGATTCTCTTAATAGAGAACATTAAATAGCGCTTGAAGGAAAGCAAACTCTCTGACATGCCCTTGTGTTGTGCCATCTGATGTTGCTTTAGTGAAAGATTGTAAGCATAATGGATGATTTATCTTTTCTACAAAAAGCAATGTATGTGTTCTGTACATTACCCTCGTTGCATATCTGTTTGTGTGATTGTTTAGGAAATGCCGCAAAACTACGGGCCCAGTCAAATCCTAAACCAATAACGTACGAAGAGCTGCCCCTACTTTTCAGACTCCCTGCTGAGTTGTATGTGTTCGCAAGTTAAATTGACCAATCGCTGAACTACTGCCACCGCTGTCCCACGTGGTTACCAAGGACCCCGATTTGTCCCACGTGGTTACCATTTTTTTTGGCCTTTCCAGCAACCAAAACTTGCCAAGTGGCGACAATATTGCTGCAGCTTGCCTGGCGAGAAGCTCTATTTAGCGGTCGTTTCCTAGCGGGTACAGAACTACCAGCTCACCGCAACAGACATAACCTGGTCTGTTTTGGCTTCATCAAGACAAATGCTCCAAAATTCATCAAGCTTGAGATTCCGAGTTTTGTCAGGCGATCCACATCCAGAGAGAGCGTAGCAGCTGGGTGCAAACCCGGGTGACTTTATCTCTTGTGTTCGCTGGTCGATTTCCCGGCTTGCCTGACGCCCATGGCGTTCTCGCGGAGTCTATTTCGGGCAGCAAACGCCGTGAAGCGGGTGTGTATTTGTGTGGGTATCGTCTGTGCTAGCAACACACTCAAACAAAGAAAAGCTATATGCAGTTGCAATGTGAGCTGTCTGTCGTGTTTTCATACTTTCCGTGAGATATCGCATGCTAAGCCAATCATGTTTCTTTCCTGATGTCAGAGCCAGAAGGATGGGAGTTTCTCGCGGCTGTTTAATCAGGCATTTCGCCCATTGACCACGGTAAGTGACACGAAAGAACATATGACATTCTCGCCGATCTTAAGAAACTGCTGAATGTATGGAAGATAGGTCTGGGTCCACAATTTGCCTGATCTCTTCCATGCCTGATCCCTTTCATACCTGATCCTTACCATGCGTAATGATCATTCCTTACCGTATCCCTTCCCATGCCTAATCCGTTCCATGCCTAATCCCTTGCATGCCTGCCATGCCTGATCCATGCCATGCCCGATGTTAGAATAATCCGTTCCGATCTCCACTACACGTTTGGCGTACACATCAACTCTGCTGCGGTCAGACTCAGATGAATCTCTGAAGCGCTTGACGTTCTCTCATCCTTACCGTTCCATTCGTCCGTGCTTCCGCCGCTTGTGTTTCAGGAGCTGCACGCGAAGCTGCAGGAGGTGGTGCCGCAGCAGCAGGAGCGCATTCGGCAGATCAAGTCGCACTACGGCAGCCTGTCCATGGGCAAGGTCACCGTCAACATGGTGAGCCGCTCCCCTTCCCTCACGCACACAGTTTCTCTCCTTGGCAAAGGCCTAGGTCGTTTGCACTTACCACATCAGATCAAGTCGCACTATGGCAACCTGTCCATGGGCAAGGTCACCGTCAACATGGTGAGTCGCGCTCTCCCTCCCTCCCTCTCTGACTCGTTCTCGTCGTCTGAATACCGCTTTGATTCGACTCATTCGTCGCATTTTTCTCCTCACTACACTTGCTACGAGCGAAACTGCGCTCAACCCTTGCGGCTACCCACACGTGGTCGCATTGCTCATCTGCGTTCCTGCTTCCCGTCCTATTTGTGTGAGCAGGCGATCGGAGGAATGCGAGGGGTGAAGGGGCTGGTGTGGGAGACGTCACAGCTCGACCCCGAGCAGGTGTGTAGCAAGTGCATTGATTGCAGCAGTCAGTTGTGAAGTGAGTTGCTCCGCCACTTATGGATGTTTTACAGCTGCATGCTTTTAGTGCCTCTCCGAGCATGAACGACTCTGAAATTACTGTCATTGCATTAACCGTTGCGTAACAGGCGAGAGTGCAACAGTCGCTTGGGCTGTGCTTGCCTGCGAAGAGGCATCTTGCCAACTCCTCTTCCCCCTTTCTCCTCTCCTTTCCCCCTTCCCCTTCCCCGTTCCCCCTGCTGCACCCTCCCGTTCCCCCTCCTCTTCCTCGCCTTCGCCTCTCCCCCCATTCCCACGCCCATCCCTTGTCCCTCCTTCCCCCTTCCTTAGGGCATCAAGTTCCGCGGGTACAGCATCCCCGAGTGCCAGCACCTGCTGCCCAAGGCCGTGATAGATGGCGAGCCCATGCCCGAGGGGCTGCTCTGGCTGCTGCTGACGGGCGAGGTACGCTGCACGCACACATAGACAGACAGTAGCATATCTCACACGGCTGATAGACGGCACGGCACATGCTGCCCAAGGCCGTGATAGACGGCGAGCCCATGCCCGAAGGGCTGCTCTGGCTGCTGCTCACCGGCGAGGTACGTGGGAGGGGCGTTGTGCGTATGTGCACCCTCACACACAGACAGACTGTAGCATATCTCACACATGTAGACAGATTCTCGCCTGTTTTCGAGTGCCAGCACCTGCTGCCCAAGGCCGTGATAGATGGCGAGCCCATGCCCCAGGGGCTGCTCTGGCTGCTCCTGACGGGAGAGGTGCGCCGCTCACACACGTGAGCACACGCTCACACGCACGCACGCACACTCACACACGCAAGCACACGCACGCACTCCCTCACACTCACTCATTCACAAACGCTCCTCCCCAACGCAGGTGCTCACCAGCAAGCTGGCAGCCGTAGTGACGCAAGAGGTGTTTTCTGAATCGACTCAATTGGCGCGTGCTCACACGTGTGCTGTTTCCTCTGTTGCCCCCTCGCCCCGCACCCACCAGGTGCCCACCAGAGAGCAGGCGGCCACTGTCACGCAAGAGCTGCACGAGCGAGCCAAGATGCCTGGTACGTCTGGTGGGGAGAGCGTGGGTATTCAAATACCTCGTACATCTCGTAGGGGTTGTGGGTGTTCGAAAGATTCCTGATTCGTTCAAAGAAAATATGAGAGGATGCTGAACTGGTCTTCTATCATCCCTCCTCCCCTCCCTCCTCTCACCTCCCCTGAACACCCCACACTATCAGAGTACGTGCACAGGATGCTGAATGCCCTGCCGCGTGACGTGCACCAGTGACGCAGCTACACACTGGGGTGATGGCTGGAATACAATAACTCGACCTTTCCCTCTGTACTCCCCTAACCCCCAACACCAGAGTACGTGCACACGGTATTGAACGCCCTGCCCCGCGACATGCGCCCCATGACGCAGCTGTCCATCGCCGTGATGCCTCTTCACACACAACTTGACCCTTCCCTCTGCCTTCCCTAACCGCCCCACCCCCGCCAGAGTACGTGCACACGATGCTGAACGCCCTTCCCTTGGACATGCACCCCATGACGCAGCTATCCATCGCCGTGATGCCTCTTCACACAAAGACTTCCCCTCTTTTCCCTTTCTATTCCACCACCTCTCTCACCAGAGTACGTGCACACAGTGCTGAACGCCCTGCCCCGGGACATGCACCCCATGACGCAGCTGTCCATCGGTGTGATGGCGCTGCAGAAGGGCAGCCGCTTCGCCTTCAACCCCTTCCATTCCCCCCTCCCCATCCCCCCTCCCTCCACCAGAGTACGTGCACACGGTGCTGAACGCGCTTCCTCGAGACATGCACCCCATGACGCAGCTGTCCATCGGCGTGATGGCGCTGCAGAAGGGCAGCCGCTTCGCCCGCGCCTACCACGAGGGCATGCCCAAGAGCAAGTACTGGCACCTGGCTTACGAGGATGCGCTTGACCTCATTGCCACTCTGCCACAGGTCTGTGCTGAAATTTTCGGCCGTTGAGTGCTCTATTACAGTACCACGAGGGCATGCCCAAGAGCAAGTACTGGCACCTGGCTTATGAGGACGCTTTGGACTTGATTGCGACCCTGCCCCCGGTCAGTGCCCAGAGTACCTCTGGGTTAGTGCTGGTATGGCTGCGTGTACTATGAGGGCATGCCCGCACCTGGCTTATGAGGACGCTTTGGATTTGATTGCCACGCTGCCCCAGGTCAGTTCAGTGTGCCCCGTGTTCATGATTGCATCGAACCACGAGGGCACGCCCAAGAGCAAGTACTGGCACCTCGCTAACGAGGACGCTCTGGATCTGATTGTTACTCTGCCCCAGGTCAGTTGCTGGCACTCCACGGTAACTCTTGATTGCGTTCTATACCAAGGTACCACGAGGGCACGCCCAAGAGCAAGTACTGGCACGTCGCTCATGAGGAAGCACCACGAGGGCATGCCCAAAAGCCAGTACTGGCACCCGCTAGATCTCTAACCACGCGCTTGTCCTTGTTGCTGCTTTGTGTCAGGTGAGTTATACGGCACCTCAGTTATCAAATGGCGAACATACATGCAACCCCCCAATCTCCTGTGGTGGCAACGCACAGCACGAGTTGAGGAATGGAAAGATCACCTCACCCAAGTGTGCTGCTTTTGAGCATGCTTATTGGTGCTCCTCCTCCCCCTGTCCATGTCTCTCACGGCAAGATCATCCCGCCCAACGACAAGCTGGACAATTCTGCCAACTCCTCTCATTCACCCCATTGCATTGCTTCTTTTCCAAACCCTAAACCTGTTCGTTGGGTAGCAGCAGGTAGCACACCTCTACAGGCACACGTTCAAGGACGGCAAGATCATCCCACCCAACGAGAAGCTCGACTTGAGTATGCAGCCAACCCCTCCCATTCACCTCGTGGCTTCTTCCCCAACCCTAAACCCTTTAAACATCACCAGGTGGCAGCACACATCTACAGGCACACGTTCAAGGATGGCAAGATCATCCCGCCCAACGAGAAGCTGGACTATGCCGCCAACTTCGCCCATTCACCTCGCTACGTTCCCACTCCCCCAACCCCTAAACCCTTCATCCCCCACCAGGTGGCAGCACACATCTACCGGCACACGTTCAAGGACGGCAAGATCATTCCGCCCAACGAGAAGCTGGACTACGCTGCCAACTTCGCCCACATGCTGGGGTTTAACGACCCGCAGTTCCACGACCTCATGCGCCTCTACCTCACCATCCACGCGTGAGTCCATGCGCTCTTCTATAAAGCCCCCCGAGGCCTTTTACTAGTAGCCCGGGGTTCTCACCCACATGCTGGGCTTCAACGACCCGCAGTTCCACGACCTCATGCGCCTCTACCTCACCATCCACGCGTGAGTCCATGCGCTCTTCTATAAAGCCCCCCGAGGCCTTTTACTAGTAGCCCGGGGTTCTCACCCACATGCTGGGCTTCAACGACCCGCAGTTCCACGACCTCATGCGCCTCTACCTCACCATCCACGCGTGAGTCCATGCGCTCTTCTATAAAGCCCCCCGAGGCCTTTTACTAGTAGCCCGGGGTTCTCACCCACATGCTGGGCTTCAACGACCCGCAGTTCCACGACCTCATGCGCCTCTACCTCACCATCCACGCGTGAGCCCATGCCCTAATCTGAGCCCTAAACCTTCACCTGCCAGTCTCTTTTCTCTGCGCCATCCTTGCCATGCCATCCCATGCCATCATGCCATTCTATGCCATCATGACATCTAGTTTTGAGGCGCCTCAAAACTAGTCATGGCATTCCATGCCATCATGCCATTCTATGCCATCATGACATCCCATGCCGTCATCATGCCATGCGATCATGGCATGTCAGGCCATGCAATCATCTATCGTGTGTGCTCCTTGCTTCTGTGTGTCTTTGTGCCCGTGTATGCATGTGTGCGGGTGTGTGTGTGTGTGCATGCATGCATGCGTGTGCGTGCATCTGTGCGTGTGTGGGTGGGTGGGCCTGGGGTGTGGGGAAGGGAGGGGGGGGGAGGGAAGGAGGGGTGAGGATGGGAAGGGAGAGGGGGGGGGGAGGGAGGGGGGAGAGGGAAGTGAGGGGGGAAGGTGTGTGTGCGTGTGCGCGTCCTTGCGTGTGTGCATGCATGTGCGTGTGCCCGTCTCTGTGTGACTCATGGCAATCAGGGATCATGAGGGAGGCAATGTCAGCGCCCATGCCACCCACCTGGTGAGAACAACAGCCACACAGACCCATCCCTCATTTTCTCCCATCCCCTCCTCATTGTCTCACCCACCCAACCCCCTCGTCATCCCTTTTTTTTCTCACCGGCACACCTTTTTTTCAACCCCACCTCATTGTCTCACCCACTTTCTATCTCGCCAACTCCTCGTCACCACACCGGACCGCCCTAATTCTCTTCTCCTATCCCCACCTTTCTCCTTTCTCCTCCTCAACTTTATCCTCTCGCATCTCTCTCTTCCTCCTCCTCCCTCACCCTTCTCTCTCCCTCACCCCGCACCTGAGCGCCTCTCTCAATCCCAAGGCAGCGCTGTTGTCAGCTTCGCTGCTGGCCTCACTCCCCTCTCTCCTCTTTCCCCTTTTCTCTTCGCCTGTCCCTCTTCCCCTTTTCGTCCTCTCCTCTTCCCCCACCTGACTGCCTCCCATCTCATCCCCACCAGGTGGGCAGCGCCCTGTCAGACCCCTACTTCTCCTTTGCTGCTGGCCTCAATCCTCCTCTCTCCTTTCCCTCCGTCTCTCTCCTCTCCTCTCCTCCCCTGGCTGCCTCCCATCTCATCCCCATCAGGTGGGCAGCGCCCTGTCAGACCCCTACCTCTCCTTTGCTGCTGGCCTCAATGGTCTGGCGGGTCCTCTGCACGGCCTTGCTAACCAGGCAAGTCACGGCTCATGACTGAACATGATTAAAAGGTTCACTAAGTCTATGTTCCAAGCTGCTCATCTCATGCCTGGACATGGATTTCAAGAATTCACTGTGCAATGTGGGTGGTGTGACACTCCCTTCCATTGTTATTCGCCAATGCAGTGCGGATTGAGTTGATTTACTTCAAAGTGTGAGAAGCCTAGTCGCAGTAGCAGCGCTCGGAATGCAAATCTCCCTCACATTCAACTATCACCTCACCCCTACTGTCTCCTGGTTCTCCCCATTCCGCTTTCCACCGCCGCTTTAACCTCTGCCCCCAACCTTTCCCCACAACAGGAAGTGCTGCGCTGGTTGGAAGAGGTAAAAGCTGACGTGGGGCCGGACGCAGGCAAGGACGAGTTGAGGGACTTTGTGTGGCGCACGCTGCAGAGCGGCAAGGTGGTGCCGGGCTATGGCCACGCTGTGCTGCGAGTTACAGACCCCCGCTACAGCTGCCAGCGCCAGTTTGCGCTGAAGCATCTTCCTCATGATCCGACCTTCAAGCTGGTGAGTGCGATGCCCCTATTCTAGGAGTTTCCAAGGTGGTGCCGGGCTATGGTCACGCTGTGCTGCGGGTGGCGTTCCTCAGCCTGCATGCCACCCCTCTCCATCTCGTAGAGGCGGAGCCCGAGCTCGTGCTTCTTCGCCAACTCATATGCATGCTCCAGTGTCGCCGAAGGTCCCAGCTCGAACACTCTCCCCTTCACGTCCCCGGCCACGCGCTCGTCCAGGCAGTTCAGAAGCTTGGACACCAACCTCCACTCGTCTCGGCACTCCATGTCCGATGCGAGCTCCCGCAGCCTGCCGTATGTCGCCAGTAGAGATTCCCCCGGCTTTCTCTTGAACGACGCGAACTCCCTCATGCGCTCTGGCGTCTGCACAGGAAAGTGCCGCCTTAGCGTGTCGAAGAACTGCGTCACCACATCCCAAGTCACTCCGCTAGCCTGCACGGGCTCGCTCAGCATGCGTTCCAGCTCCATGCCGTATGCAGTCTCTGCTTCTCCTGTCATCGTATTTGAAAGCCCCCGAAAGAAATCTTCTGGCTCTAGCCCATCGTTCATCCAGCGGTACTGCGCATTACGGATCTGCATCATGTAATTTTTCAGACTGCTGCCCACGCCCGGCGTGCCCACGAAACGTTCTGGGACTTCAATCTTTGGAAGCGCGGCGTATCTCACACTGCCCGCCCGTGTTGTTTCCGTCGTTTGATGCTCTGACATGGAGAGACGCCTCATGCGTACGAGCAACTCGCCGTCGGTGCCGTCGTTCGTTGCGTCAGCCGCCGCGCCTCGTTCGTAGCCAGAATAACCCCGCTGGAAGTATTGCTTGAAGCGGAGTGGTCTGCTTGGGAGGAGCAACTGCTTCGTACCTGCTTCAGAAAGGCACTGGCAGCTGTAGCGGGGGTCGTCACCCGGAGAAGCGATGCGGAGAGGAGGCGGATATGGTGGCAGGCTGCGCTGCTGGTAACACTGGGAGGGCTGGGCATCACCAACCCCGCTGTTGAAGGAAGTTCTGCCTACCTCGCTTCGGTGATCGGCGCCTCTCACCTCCTGCACTCGCTCGCCGACACCCTACACCCCGCAGTAGCAGCCCTCCTCCTCCTAATGGTCCACACCCTGAGGCATAGGAGACCCTCCAGGCGGGGAAGGTGGACCCCAAGGCCTGAGACTGCAGCAGTCCCTTGGCCTGGCGGTCCACACCCGCCGCTTCAAAAGGGTTCTGCATGAAGCAAGGAGGATGCGCCCCAATCCCCTCTCAGGTTATGCCCAGCGGATGCAGTCAGTGCTGGGCTCTGGAGCGGGGGATTGGCTGGTGGCGATACCCCTTATCCCTGCAATCCGGATGGGCCCCTCCCGGCGTCCGGATGACCGTGACGAACCCCGTGTCTTACCAAGACGAGAATTGCAACCGTGCTCCTGGGTGGGCGGCCATGGCGGCAGCAGCAAAGAAAGAAGAGAAGTACAGCTGCCAGCGCCTGTTCGCTCTCAAGCATCTTCCTCATGATCCGACCTTCAAGCTGGTGAGTGCTTGTTGTTTTTTCATTAGGAGTTCCCAAGGTGGTACCGGGCTATGGCCATGCTCTGCGGGTGACTGACCCCCGCTACAGCTGCCAGTGCCAGTTTGCGCTGAAGTACCTGCTCCATGACCCCACCTTCAAGCTGGTGAGTGCGATGCCCCTATTCTAGGAGTTCCCAAGGTGGTGCCCAGGCATGGCCATGCAGTGCTGAGGGTGACTGATCCGCGTTACAGCTGCCAACGCCAGTTTTCGCTAAAGCGCCTCTTCCACGACCACACACCCAAGCTGGTGAGCTCTTCGTATTTCCTTATCTCTACGAGGTGGTGTCCCACAAACTGCTCGAGACAGGCGAGGTGAAGATCCCCTGGCCCAATGGGGACGCGCACAACACTCTCACTTCCTTGTGCATTGTCTCCCTTACCTCCTCTCCCTCCCTCAGGTGTCCAACCTGTACGAGGTCGTCCCCCATATTCTCCTCGAGACGGGCAAGGTGAAGAACCCCTGGCCCAACGTGGACGCGCACAGTGGCGTGCTGCTGCAGCACTACGGGCTCACCGAGGCCAGGTGGGTGGCTTCGCTTGTCCTCTAGTGTAGTGTGTGCTGCTGCAGCACTACAGGCTCACTGAAGCCAGGTGGGTGGCTCCGTTTGTCTTTCAGTGTGTAGCTAGCCCTGACTGTCTTCTAGTGTGTGCTGCAGCACTATGGGCTCACCGAGGCCAGGTGGGTGGCTTTGTTTGTCTTTCAGTGCAGCACCCCCTTGTGCACCTTGCACGCTGCTCAATGCTGCTCGTCAGATGTTTTATCTCTACCACCTTATTTTTGCCCTCCGTTGTCTCCCTCCACTTCCTTCTCATTCTCACACTTCCTCTCCTTTCTGCCGGCCCCCTCTCTCCCCTCTACACAGTGCTCTTTGCCATCTCTCTTTGCCAACCCTAAACCCTAAACCCGAAACATATTATCACCTCTCCTCCCCTATCACTTTCCCCCACTGCCTCTCCCTCCCCCTCCCCTCTCTGCAGCTACTACACCGTGCTCTTTGGCGTCTCGCGAGCCATGGGAGTGCTCTCTCAGGTGGGTCTGTTGCTCTCAGGTGGGTCTGTTGCTCTCAGGTGGGTCTGTTGCTCTCAGGTGGGTCTGTTGCTGCAGGTGGGTCTGTTGCTCTCAGGTGGGTCTGGTGCTCTCAGGTGGGTCTGTTGCTCTCAGGTGGGTCTGTTGCTGCAGGTGGGTCTGTTGCTCTCAGGTGGGTCTGTTGCTCTCAGGTGGGTCTGCTGCTCTCAGGTGGTTGCTTGGGCAGGTAGGCTACTCTCAGGTGCAGTTCCATGTGTCGTCTCAGTGACCTCCGAAACTACCGAAACTATTTAATCCCTTATGGTGCAGTCTATTTTCCTTGCAATGTTTTCTTATGTTTCCCTTTTTCTTTTCCTTTACCTTTTCTTCTCCCTTCTCTGCTTTTACCCCTCCATCCTCCTTATCCTTCCCAACTGATCGTGCGCATCCCCTCCTCGCATACCGTCCTCCCACCTCATTCCCCTCCATCTCTGCACAGCTTGTGTGGGACCGCAACCTGGGCTTCCCCATCGAGCGCCCCAAGAGCATCACGCTCGACTGGAGGGTGCATCACCATCTCTAACACCCATCCACTCCTGCTCCTCCCCGTTACCCCCCCTCCGTCTCTCTGCCTGCAGCTTGTGTGGGACCGCGCCCTGGGCTTCCCAATTGAGCGCCGAGCATCACTCTTGACTGGACACACACAGTTCCCATCATCTTGTTCTTACGTTCGTCCCTTACCTCCTCCTCTCCCCTCCCATGTCTGCGTATGCAGCTCGTGTGGGACCGCGCCCTGGGATTCCCCATTGAGCGCCCCAAGGGCATCACCCTCGACTGGGTTCGCACAAGTCCCAACATCGCCCCGATAACGAGTCCCTGTCGTTCCGTTCCTCCTGTGTCTCACTCCATTTGTACCTGCATCTCTCTGTGCGCAGCTTGTGTGGGACCGCGCCCTGGGATTCCCCATTGAGCGCCCGAAGAGCATCACACTCGACTGGATCGAGGAGTTTGCTTCCGACAAGGCACACGAGAAGGAGCTGCATTCGCATGACAAGGAGCAGCACGCGCACGAGCACAAGCACTAGAGAGGATCACAGGCGCATGCTCACACACGCAAGCTCATCCCGTTTCCCATCATCCCACACCACCCAGCCCACAAGCCCATCCCACGATCACGGCCCACGATCACGGCCCACTTGCCACCGTCGCTTGAATCAAACACACCCATCCGACACCCCATGCACAGATGGCTGGAAAAGATCCCGCAAACCCTATCATTATAGGTTCACATCCACCCCCCATCCCACCTCCCCAACCATGGCCGGCCGAGTAAATAGAACCTCCCATCACCCATCTGTCCATCCCCATGACTGTGTGTTACCATGCCTTAGTTAGCCACTCTAGCACTAGGTGCTGTGTGCACAGCAGTGTTCCTCTTTACCTTGTGTCTGTTAGGTTATCACATTACAGCTGTATATTTTGAGTGTAGCCATGTAGTGAGGACATAAAACACACCTATGGTACCACTGCTGCTGGCTCTCAAATGAAAGTGTCACCAAGTGCTCTGTCTGTACTCGTGTTTACACAAAGCAGCAATTTAACACACTCCCTAGGCACGCTATGCCTAGGGATGGCATACCGTACCTCTAAGATCATCGGAGGATATCAATGAGGTGGCCGGGCAGGTTCAAATTGCCTGCTGCATAGTTTCACACTCTTTGGGGTAATGAACAATATTTAACACGTATGAACAGCATGCACGGTGTGTAAAGAAGCAATTATGTTACTGCATACAGCATATATTATGAACTATAAGCATAATAATATATATTTCACATATGAAATACCATGTACAGCATATTTAGTGTTGCGATCATGTCCTTGCATACCTCCTGCACCTAAGTCCACACCTCACTGCACACCCCTCAACCCCTCCACACATGTGCATACCCTTCCCACCCTTTCATACTTCTTCGCATTTTCCCCAGACCTGCTGTTTGTATTTGCTGCACCCGGCCTCCAGTCAACCCCACCATCACCCCCACCTCCTGCACAGTCTTCCTCATCTCATTACTTCTCTCCCCCTGCTCTGCACAACGAACAAAAATTTGCCGCCCTTGTTGCCGCCCAGCGCGGCCCCTAAGCCCATTTCCCCCACAGTTGCAATCAGCTGAGCAGCCATCTGTCAGGGGTGCATCACTTGGGCGGCAAATCATGGCGAGAGGATCTGCTGGGTGGCAGTCTTCTAAAAGAGAGTCTGGCAGGCCGAATCTGATTTGAATGACGGCTCGCTCTTTCGGTGAGAGGCCGAGAATGGCTCGTTTCAACGCGCCCTGTAGCTCCTGCTGCATGTAACGAGTCTCAGGGCACTCTACAGAGGGATCAGGGATGGTGGACTGGAGGGAGGGGAAGGGAGGGGGGGCTTAATAGGGGGAGTGGGGGAGGTGGGGGGAGGTGGGGTAGGTGGGGTCAATGGGGGACAAGGATGGCTAAAATGAGATGAATGGGATGGTGAGATGAAAACAGAAAGCGATTCGTTTACAGGGGCAGGCTTATAGACCAGGAAGCATGACGCATGGTACCTGGTATACGGTATGGGTTGTGTGGTGCATGGTGCATGGTGCATGGTAGCGGCACTCGGTACATGGTGTATGGTATACAAGGCTATGGAACACGCATGTACACTCATTGTACATGACCTATGTCTCACACATTCACCCCAAGACTCTCCCCTCTCCCTCGTCCCCTTCTAGAGTAACTTTTGAGAGACTCCAAAGTCACCTTCTCAAATACTCACCCCAAGACTCTCCCCTGTCCCCGCGTCCCCTTCCAAAGACCGAGGCAAGCGCACAGATCCTGGGGTGAGTCCGCGCTTCTGATTTGACTCGACCAGTGGTGCTGACGTGGACAGCGTTGGTGACGTGGACGATGGTGCTGTCGTGGATGGATGTGCGCGTTGACGGCGGGTGAGCATGTGCTGACTGTGCAAGTACGCCTGAAGGGAGGAGGAGGGGGATTGGAAGGCGGGGGGATTGTGGAAGGATGAGTAGACGGATAGGGGAAGAACATGTGTCGCACATGTGAACGACAGCTTATCATGTAAAGATTTGCTTATCATGGCATGTGGTCAAGGATATGTGCATGTGCCACGTGTATGTATGTGCCACGTGTATGAGCATGTCTGTGCATCATGCATGTGTGCATATGCCACGTGGCACTCACAGGCAGCTTGATTATGGACGACTGATCGACGGCTGATTGGATGATGCTGTGTCGGATCCACCAATAACAGTACGTGGAGAGCCGGAATCCACGGTCAGGATCGAATCGTTCTATACCCTTTATAAGCCCCCCGTATCCCGCCTGTTGCAGGGACGATATAAAGCACACAACATAGCAACAGGATATATGGAAGGGACAAAGAGAGAGAAGAGCCTGATGAGCAGTATGACAACAACACAAAGAAGAATAAAGGCACTGAACATCTCATTCCACTGCTAACAAGTTTATCATACTGCATGTACCACTTTGCTCACTACTATGATATACCCTCACCGGAATCTTTTTAAGTAACTTGTTACCATGATCAAGATTCTCACAATCGCTCCCCCTCGTATATCTCTACACCAGAACAACCACTATCCCTTCACACGCAATTCCTCACCTCAATCACCCTTCACTCTAACCACCCTTCGCTCGTTATAGTCACATCTTACCACAATCAATTCCTCCACAGTCACTCTTCTGCTGGCATATCTCCGCGCCAGACCCTTCACCATTCCAACATTCGCACCCAAAAGCTTCTCCATCCCCTCCCTCCCCCTCCTCTCCATCTCCCACTCCTCCTTCTCCATCCCCTCCTCCCCGCTCCTCTCCCCTTCAAACTCCTTGCCCTTTTTCCCCTCCCTCTCCCACTCCTCCCTCCCCTTCGGACCCCTGCTTTTCGTCTCATAAGCCGTCTCAACAGACAAGGTTACGTGCTCGGAATCCGTAAACGAACACAACTCAACCGCGCCACACGGCTCTCGCGACCTCCGTAATCTCAGGAGATCCTGCACGGCCCGCGCGTACTTAATCTCCTCCTCGCGCGTCGGACGCAGTGCCTCCGTCTCCCACGTGAAATGCAATGATGAGGCGGCACCTCTGAAACCCACACCTAACGGAAGCATCTGGCACATCTGCGGGCGCACTCGTCTGTCAGAGGGAACCCGCAGCTCAAACTGCTGCTTCTCCCTCCTCTGCCGCTGGGTTGGTCTGTGGCGCTTCACAACCGACGGCTTCATTCCCTGCTGGGCCGAGATTTGACTTGAAGCCCCCATGCCCGGTTGTTGCTGCTTCCCCTGCTGCTGCTGCTGGTGCTGCTGCTGCTGGTGCTGCTGCTGCTGCTGCTGCTGGTGGTGCTGCTGCTGGTGCTGCTGCTGCTGCTGCTGGTGGTGGTGCTGCTGCTGCTGGTGGTGCTGCTGCTGCTGAGACTCGTGGCGCCACCGCGCTCGCCGCTGCGCTTCAGGCGACCTCGGCGACTTACGAGAGTTTTGAGACGAGTTACGCGGCTTACGAGAGGCTACGAGGAGTTTCAGGGCCGGATTCGCGCCGGATCTCGCGCGTAACGGGTCCGCCGTTTGAGACATCTCAATAGCCGTTTCAGGCGACTTGGCCGACTTACGAGAGGCGGCTACGAGGAGTCTCGTCGCCTGATCCGCACCGGATCTCGCTATTGGCTGGTCCGCGCGCGCGCTATTGGCGAAGCTCGCCGACCAAACAGCCGCGTGGAAGGATGCCATTGGCTGGAAGCGGCGCCGAAGATAAAAATTGTGAGGTGGAAGCTCTAGGCGCGAATAATCCCCAGACTAGCAGACCGTGATGTAAGGAAAGACCTATTATGTGCTTCTTGAAGTTGGCTCAGAACCGAGACTGCCAGCATCCTGGAGGTTGCCGGCGTTCTCTAGTCAAAGCACGAATCCTGGGCGCGCGGGGATGAGCTGCAGAAGGTATTGGATCTCAGCATCTCGAGGTAAAAACTCCGAGCTGATGCATCGAGCAACACTGGAAGCTGATGCAGCGGTGAGAAATCTACCTACGATAACAGGCTTCTCGCTGTTGCTTTATGGTTCGGCGATTTGGCAAAGTGCTGAGGATATAAGAATACTGCTTTGCATCGAATCGCGGAGTGACAAAATCGAGAACCACGGTGACGTGACAGGTCAGCGTGGGGCAACAAAATTCAGTGAGAAAGAGATATTTCCCGCAAAAATCCTGGCTTGGCTGGTGTCACTACCTGTGACACGTGAAACATCAATGTCAGGGACGGGGTTCGAACCCGTGCCTCTTTCGAGACCGCAACTTGAGTGCGGCGCCTTAGACCACTCGGCCACCCTGACATGTCCGAGGACGAGGATATGCGTATTTAAAGATAATTTCCTACCTGTCAGGTTCCTGACATGACCCTTGATGTTGCCGCACAACACGGCGGCTCGAGTTTTGTGCGAAGACATTTTCCCTGGCCAATGCCCACCATTCATCTCACAGCAATTTCACCGCGCCTCGGCGACCTTTCGGAAAACAACATTGTCCCCTCACCTCCACAGCAAAGCAACCCTTTCCCCGTTCAATCCGCCCCAGGCCGAATCCTCCCCCTTCGTTGCTGCCGTTCCCCGCGTGACTTTTGTTTCGGCTGCTGCCGACCGAATGATCCCGCCCGATTCCCCAGGCTGGGCCCTTCTCGGGTACTCCAACGAGCCAGGGACGTCAAGATGATGCGTGACGCGCGGTCATCAAACGGACGGGGAAATCGGCGGCGGGAACGAGCAGGCCGCAACGAGTGTTTTCTTCTTAGTGGATGGGAATCTGAGTGTGGAGAGCTTCCGTCTATCGTTCACCTCGGTATCAGTTTTCCCTTCTCGTAGTCTCGTGATAAATTCGAGGTTTATCCGAGCAAGTTTGAGCTGTCTGTCACTCCTTGCTGACGTCAACTAAGCTCCGACGCGCCGTAGACATACATTTTCATCACATTGTCCTCCTTCCCCTCCGTTCGTTCCGCCTGGTGTACAGTGTCATCCATGTCCCCATCGCTTCGAATATGTCCATGTACACGTCACGAGTCACGAGACGGTCGTTTTAGGTCAGCATCCTGAAGTCCGCAGTCAAGAAAATAAGATCTCCGCGTAGTTGCACGCTCGTTTGTAAAACAGGACCAGGTGTCTCTGTACAGCTTCTGACACGCACGGCCGTTGTCTCGGAAGCGTAGTCTGCTAGGAACAAAACATCATAGTTACCTTTCCGTAATAAAGCTGTCGAGATGTTCCAGTTTTCTAAAGAATTCAACGGCAGGCGTCGCGCACGCCTCGAGCCTAGTAGCGATACAACCACCAAGAAGCGGGACCGGACTTCGTTCATGGCGTCTCTTGTCGCGAAGCCGTTCGATTCGGTTAGGCTGACGTGGACCACGCGAATCGCACGGCTACCAACTGTAGTGGGGAAACGGCCATGGTCGCCGGAAGTCGTCAACACCGTTTGCACGACGGCAGCTTTTGCCGTGATGTGCTTGCTAGCCGCCTGGGTGTTCCTCGCACCAGGAAGATCACAGGTACTTAGTTACCATTCTCCAGGCGAGCATGCTGTTGAGTTTGTTTCCCAGATGGCTTCGGGCTCATTATTTTGCATCTCTAGTCCACGAGGGTCCCGTTCGCGACTACCGAAGCATCATGAGAAGATACGATTATAGATGGATTCGCGATTATAGATGCGTTTCTTACAGGGGACTTTCCTAGAAGCCTTAGCAGACTCAGGGGACGAAAAATGGTTCTCAGCGGAACAGAACAGGGAGGTCTCAGCAGGCATCAGAAACACGAGAAGGTTGTGGTCATACCATCCGCACCAAACCTCCACATTATTCACTGCGGGTGGTGTGGATGGATCGGCGCAAGCGGAAGCGAATGCCCATAAACCCTCGCATGATTCGTATTAGGCAGTCTCATCAGCGTCAGTCTGTGCGGTACCAAGTGGTTTGGATGGTTGGTTTTTCCTCCGTGTCGGTCACTTTAACTGACTCCCTTGCTCTTGCGGATCTTCTGTGGTCGTCTTGCCTGCAGATAGAGTCGACGGTTGTCGTCACGTCACTGGTAGACCGTCAGCCGGCAACTGAAACGGTCAACCCGCAGCAGTCGTCAGGTGTAACGGTGGAGCTGGAATCGTTGGAGGATGACGTCACCGAGACGGCCGACCCCGACCCGATGGAACCCGCGCAATCGTTCACCGTATGATGCTTGATGCGTGTGTCTGTATATGTGTGTTTTTTTTCCACTTGATGGCATCATCGTTTATTTATTTTCTTTTTGTTACACGACATTGTGTCGAAGTGCTCCAGTGACCGGGAATGGTCAATGGTGGTACCGAAACGCCTGTTTTCGGGAATTCTGCCTTCCCCTTGAACTATTTAGGTTTGTTTCGTGTAGAATGAGATCACACCGTAAATGGTGCTGTACTATGTCTGGGCCCCTTTCTTTTGCCCTCCCGGTCCCCCGTTTCCCCAGCCCCGCATGACAATGACCCTTCCGCCATTTCCCCATTCCCTCCACAACCCTGACCTTTCCGCGCATAGGGTTTTGTGAACGGCCCCCACGCATTGGAGGCGGAAGCAGCGGAAGACAAGGTGCGCTCACTCCGCCACCCCGATTGAAACCTTGATTCTTTCCCCGTTCCCCATCTCCCCCCAACCCTGTCCCTTCCGTGGTGGACGAGGATTAACGGACGTACTAGCTCACACGTTTAACGTTTTCCGTTTCTCCTAGTTTTCACTCAGTCAGACACTTGTCGCCTATGTCTGGTTTTCAGAACGTTCCCACCCTTTTCCTTCGCCAACTTCGCAATTCTCCCTTCCATTTCCGGGACCACCCCACCCTGCAATCTGCAGATTTCCGCACCTGTGTTCCCGCTGTGCAAAACGGAGGGCCCAGATTTCATCCCGTGCCTGGAGAACGAGGCTGCGATCAAGGCGCTCAAATCGACGGCGCACTACGAGCATCGGGAGCGGCACTGCCCCGGGAAGGACGGTGTGCTTCGCTGCATGCTGCCGCTGCCTGAAGGATACAAGGCGCACGTCAGCTGGCCCGAATCCAGGGACCAGGTGAGGGGGTGTGTGTTCGAGAATGGGACGGGCGTAGGGGCGTGAATCGAGGGGTCAAGTCGACAAACCACGACGAGCATTGGGAGCGGCACTGCCCGGGGAAGGACAGCGTGCTGCGCTGCCTGCTGCCGCTGCCTGAAGGATACAAGGCGCATCTGAATTGGCCCGAGTCGAGGGACCAGGTGAGGGCGTGTGTTCTTATGAAGGGAATGGGCGTAGGGGCGTTATTCGAGGGCACCGCGAGCGGCACTGCCCCGGGAAGGACGGCGTGCTGCGCTGCCTGCTGCCGCTGCCCGAGGGGTACAAGGCGCGTGTCAACTGGCCCGAATTCAGGGAGCAGGTGAGAAGCGTGCGCTCGAGAAAAGGCGACAGGCATAGAGGCGTAAATCGAGGGGACAAGTCGACGAGCCACTACGAGCATCGGGAGCGGCACTGCCCGGGGAAGGACAGCGTGCTGCGCTGCCTGCTGCCGCTGCCTGAAGGATACAAGGCGCACGTGAACTGGCCCGAGTTGAGGGACCAGGTGAGTGTGTGTGCTCGAGTGTTCAGAAAGGGAACGGGCGTAGAGGCGTAAATTGAGGGGTCAAGTGGAGGAGGCAGTAGGAGCACAGGGGAACGGCACTGCCCCTGCTGCCTGCTGCCTACTTCCTGCTGCCTGCTGCTTGCTGCCTGTTGCCTGCAGCCTGCAGCCGCTACCAAAGGGGCACCAGGTGTATGCTCTCCTTCCCAGCCCGTGAATCACTCTCCCTCCTTCCCTTCCCTTCCCTTGCATCCCTACCAGATCTGGTTTGCCAACGTGCCTCACACACAACTCGCAAACTACAAGGCGGATCAGAACTGGATCAAGCCTGAGGGAGACAGATTCATATTCCCAGGCGGGGGAACGCAGTTTAAGTACGGCGTCACTAAGTACATCACATGGCTACAGGAGGTGTGTAAGGTTCTGTTTATAACGAGTACACACAGTTCAGGGTGATTCGCAGTTAAAGTACGGCGTCACTAAATACATTGCCTTGCTGCAGGAGGTGGGAAAGGGGCTGTTTATAGCGAGTACAGCATAGAGTAGAGCAATAAATACAGCGTTACTTGCACTCTCGGTATGGAGTGATCATTACATCAGATGGCTGCAGGTGGTGGTCAGGGGTTGTCTATATCGAGTAC